TTCTTGTTAGCATTTCGTCAAATCTTTTTTCAAGGTTCTTAGTTTCTTGGCATTTGGTTAGAACATGTTCTTTAAGTTCACAGAAGTTTCTTACTACCCACCTTCTGAAGTCTGATTCTGTCATTTCATCACACTCGTTCTCCCTCCAACCTTGTTCCCTTGCTGGTGAGGAGTTGTGATCCCTTTTAGGAGGAGAGGTGTTCTGGTTTCAGGTGTTTTCATCCTTTTTGCGCTGGTTTCTTCCCATCATTAAGGATTTATCCACCTGTCGACTTTGTAGCTGCTGGCTTTCAGATTGGGTCTCAAATCTTTCAGATTGACATTCTGTTTGTTGATGATGAGGTTATTTCTGTTTCTGGGTTTTCCTTCTGACAGTCTGGCCCCCCTGCTGTAGGTCTGCTGAGGTTCACTCCAGGCCCTGCTTGCCTGGCGTTCACCTGCAGCAGCTGCTGAACAGCAAGGGTTGTTACCAGTTTTCTTCTGCTATCTTTGTCCCAGAAGGATACCCGCCTAGTGTCAATCTGATCTCTCTTTTATGAGGTGTCTTTTTGGATATATAGGGGTCAGGGAGCTGCTTGAGGAGACGGTCTCTTCTTTATAGGAGCTCAAATGGTGAGCTGCGATCTCTGTTGTTGTTCATTCAGAGCTGCTGGGCAGGTACTTTTAGGTCTGCTGCAGCAGAACTCATAAACTGCTTTTTGTTCCCAGGTGCTCTGTCCCAGGGATTTAGGGCTTTATTTATGAGTTTCCGTTATGCTGCCGCCTTCTTTTTTTTTTTTTCTCCTTCAGACCTGCCCAGCCCAGCAAGGAGGCAGCCTAGTCACTGTCGGCCTATAGCAGCTTTGCAGAGCTGCTGTGGGCTCTGCCCTGCTGCCGAGTGAACTTCCCTGCAGTCCTGTTTATATGGGTGTAGTTAGAACTGCTTTGGCGATGGTGGCCCGCCTCTGTTGGGGCGGTGTCTCTGCTGTGACGGGTTGCCTTGGCAACGGCGGGCTGCCTCAGCAATGGCGGGTTGCCTTGGCAACGGCGGACTGCCTCGGTAATGGCGGACACCCCTCCCCCACAGAGCTGGACCGTCCCGGGTTCAGTTGCGCTTGCTGTGAAACTCTCAATCCAGAGTTTCTGGTTGCTGTTCTTTTGTGGGGGTCGGACCAGCCGAGCCTGATCGCCTGGCTCCCTGCCTCAGAGCCTTTTTTAAGTTGGTGTTCCAGTCGCCTGTTGAAGAGGCGCCGGGGTCTGTTTGTTTTCCCCTGCGGCCACTCACTGCGCTGGCTTAAACAGCGGCACAGAGGTTTGTGGCTCTTTTTTTTGTTTTTTTTTTTTTTTTGCCCTGGAATCTACTGTCCTGGTTCTCTGCTCAGTCCCCTTTTTGAACCAGCGTATGGCCGACTTCCCATGGCTCCAATCACCAGCCTAAAGGGCCCCAAGACCAGTGTATTTTGTACGGAGAACCGCTGCTCCGGGGCGCCAACAAAGCAGCCGCGCGGGACAAAGCAGCCGCGCGGGGCAAAGCAGCCACGCAAGGCAAAGCAGCGGCGCTGGCCGGCGCTGGTCGGCACAGCCACGCTGGCCGACACAGCCGCGCTGGCGACCGTGGAACACCTCTGCCCGGGAGTTTCCTAGTCTGTGGGCAATAAAAACACGGCGTCCACTCACCCTCTGCGCTTTCACTGGGAGCTGCAATCCTGGGCTGTTCCTTAACTGCCATCTTGGATCGTCCCCCCAGTTTTATTTTTTTTTATTTTTATTTTTGAGACAGGGTCCTACTCTGTCACCCAGGCTGGAGTACAGTAGCGTTATCTCGGCTCACTGCAACCTCCGCCTCCTGGGTTCAAGAGACTCTTATGCCACAGCCTCCTGAGTAGGTGGAACTACACGTGCCTGCCACCACTCCTGACTAATTTTTGTATTTTTAGTACAGACAGCATTTCGTGTTGGCCAGGCTGGTCTTGAATTCCTGACTTCAAGTGAGCCACTCACCTCAACCTCCCAAAGTGTTGGGATTACAGGCATGAGCCACCACACTGATCCTAATTTTTGAGACAAATCTCACTCTGTCACCAAGGCTGGAGTGCAGTGGCTCAATCTCAGCTCAATGCAACCTCTACCACCTCCTGGGTTCCAGCAATTCTCATGCTTTAGCCTCCTGAGTAGCTGGGATTACAGGCATGCACAACCATGCCAGCTAATTTCTGTATTTTTAGTGACAGGGTTTTGCTGTGTTAGCCAGGCTGTTCTTGAACTCCTGACCTCAAGTGACCCACTCACCTTTACCTCCCAAAGTGCTGGGATTATGAGCATGAGCCACTGAGCCCAGCCAAGAGAGTTTTATTAATGCAGAGCTAGCCAAGCAATAGGGCCGGAATTATTACTCAAATGAATCTCCCCAAGAACTCAGAGGCTAGGGTTTTTATGGATAATTTGGTGAGCAAGGGCCCAGGGAATGGGTACTCCTGATTGGTTGAGGAGGAAATCACAGGGTATGGCAAGCAGTCCTTATGTTCTGAGTCTGTCTCTGAGTGGGGGCCACAGGATGGGCTAAGTCATGAGTCACAGGTCCAGGTCAGTCAGTTACCAGAATTCAAGTCTGAAAAACATCTGCAAAGAACAATCTCAGTTTCCACAATAGAGACGCTATCTATAGGCGGAAGAGGGGAACTCACAAACTTTGTGATCTCTGGTCACTTGACTCCTGCGCAGTCAGAGATTATAAAAACATGCTAGGCTTTTGCAGAATCTAGGCCCCTCCCATAATCCTAATCTCATGGCCTTTTTTTTTTTTTTGAGAGGGAATTTTGTTCTTTTTGCCCAGACTGGAGTGCAATGGCGTGATCTTGGCTCACTGCAACCTCCACTTCCCAGGTTCAAGAGAATCTCCTGCCTCAGCCTCCCAAGTAGCTAGAATTACAGGCATGCACCCCCACACTTGGCTAATTTTGTATTTTTAGTAGAGAATGGGTTTCTCCATATTGGTCAGGTGAGTCTCAAACTGCCGACCTCAGGTGATCCACTTGCCTTTGCCTCACAAAGTACTGGGATTACAGGCATGAGCCACAGCACCTGGTTCTTATGGCCTTACATTAGTTTTACAAAGGTGGCTTTGGTCTCTGAGTAAAGAGCAGGTTAGGTTTAAGGAGTAACTATTATCATCCTTGCTTCAAAGTTGAACTATAAATTAAATTCCTCCTCTCATTAGCTTGGCCTATGCCGCAGAATGAGTGAGGACAGCCAGCCTCAGAGGCTGGAAGCAAGATGGAGTCAGTCATGCTGGACTTCACTCACTGTCATAATATTTGCAAAGGCAGTTTTGCCAGGAGGCTGTGGGGTGACCTTGTGGGTTTGACAGGACCTGGGAGATTCTCGATCTATGTTTGGCATTCGTTCTAAGCCAGAAGGTCCCTGTGGTGGGGGCCTGCCTGGGGTGAATCTCTCCCTCCCTGCCATGCCCAGCCTAGCCAAGGCCTAGTTCAGGGCTCAGGGCACCATTTGGGGGAAGGAGTGAGGTCCTTGTGTTGAATTAGGATTTATGGCTTTGGGGCCAGTGGGAGGCGTGAGCTCTGATTCAGAAGGAGATCTGCTGTGGTGTGTGTGTGTGTGTGTGTGTGTGTGTGTGTGTGTGTGGTTTGGGAGTGGGGGGAACAGGGGTAAAAGCCTATCAGAGGGAGGTCCCATAAGACAAGGTGGGACCAAGAGTCCAGCTGGCTCTGCTGTGACTTTTGGCATGTCACTGTCTTCCTGCACATCTCAGGGGCAGGAGGGGGGCAAAAGCTGGAAGAGGTACCTGGCCGAAGCATTAGACTAGAACCCAGGCCAGGCGGGAGTGACCAGCCAGAACACTCAGAGCCTCAGCGTGCATTATAGCTTGGTGACCTTGACCCTCCAACCCCAGCCCCCTGTGCCCTGCAGCATTCCCAGTAGTGGGGGGGACGATGGGGGTAGGCGGGGGTGCACCGAGGCTTGGGTGTGGTGCGCTCTCCCCACTGCAGCATCAGGTACCCCCAGGCACAGGGGTGTGGGGTAGCGAGCAGGGGGTTGGGCGCACAGGAGCATGGGGCACGGGGCGGGCTATTCCCCTATGTAAATGGCAGCCAATGGAGAGTGGTGTTGCAGGGGAGCTGGGATTAGGGGGCCTGGGTGAATGGCTGGCAATTTTACTGGGATTACAAAAGAAAGAGCCTCCCTGTCCTCCCCCTCTCTGCTCTGCTCCCCTCCCTGTCCCACCCTCTGCTCCTCCTCCCCACGCCTCCTTCCCCGCCCTTGCCCAGTCGAGGTCCTTGCTTCCTTCTGCCTCTCCCCCATTCTCCCAGATTAATTAAGGAGGTAGCAGCAGGAGGCCGAGTCCTGGCCTGGCCGGCAGGGGTGGGCACTACTGGCAGGAGCACTTGGGGATTCTCCATGGTATTGCAGAAGAGAAAAGTAAGCTCACTGCAAACTCTGCCTCCTGGTTCAAGGATTTCTTATGCCTTAGCTTCCTGAGTAGTTGGGATTACAGGTGCTTGCCACCACTCCCAGCTAATTTTTGTATTTTTAGTGGAGACAGGGTTTCACCGTGTTGACCAGGATGGTTTCGATCTCCTGACCTCTGATCTGCCCACCTTGGCCGGGATTATAGGCGCACTGCCACCACACCCCACTAATTTTTGTATTTTTGGAATAGACTAAGTTTCTCCTTGTTGGTCTTGAACTCCTGACTTCAAGTGATCACCCCTTTGGCCTCCCAAAGTGCTGGGATTACAGGTGTGAGCCAGCATGCCTGACCAAATTTTTATTTTATTCTGTATTTTGAGGCACAGTCTCGCTCTGTTGCCCAGGCTGGAGGGCAGTGGTGTGATCCTAGCTCACTGCAGCCTCCAACTCCTGGGCTCAATGTGATCCTCCCACCTAAACCTCTGCAGGTGTGTGTCACCACACCTAGATAATTAAAAATTTTTGGCCTGGCTAGATGGCTAAAACCTGTAATCCCAGCATTTTGGGAGGCTGAAGTGAGCAAATCACCTGAGGCCAGGAGTTTGAGACCAGCCTGACCAACACGGTGAAGCCTCTTCTCTACTAAAAATACAAAAATTAGCTGGGTGAGTGGTGCATGCCCATAATCCCAGCTACCTGGGAGGCTGAGGGAGGAGAATTGCCTGAACCCAGGATACGGAGTTTGCAGTGAGCCAAGATCATGCCACTGCAGAGAGTGAGACTCTGTCTCAAAAAAAAAAACTTTTTTTTTTTTTTTTTTTTTTTTTTTTTAAGATATGAGGTCTTACTGTGTTGCCCAGGCTAGTCTCAAGCTCCTGGCCTCAAGCGATTCTCCTATCTCAGCTTCCCAGAATACAGGGATCACAGGCACTATCCTTCTAATATCCTTGGTCGGGCTTTCTCCAGCCTGCGGCCTGAGGGTCTGGATCTCCTACTGGCCTGGGTGGCATGGAAGGTGTAGTCTAGGTGGTCGAGGGGTGCCCAGGGATCCCCAGTTTGGGAAGTCCTTGTCTTCAGGGATTTCTGGCCAATGTGGTCCATATGGTGTATTCAGAGATGCTGGGAGGAGAGGGTGGGAACTTGCTGGAAACACCCTATTAGACACCAAGTAAGATTTTCATTCAGGAGTGGCAAGGCCCAAGTGCTGGGAAAGTATCTGCAATCCCTAACTTTCAAGGCCTGGAGACTCCATCATGGGGGCGGTCATGGACTTGAGGGGCTGACCCCACAGCATGGAGGCTTCTGGGAATTCCTGCACTCAAGGCAGGTTCCCAGCACTTGTTCTACATCCCCTGGGGTGGGGGGCATGGGGCCCACTTCTGCCTTTCCCATGCCTGGGCAGTTTTCTGGGACGTAAAAGGGAGATGGCTCTCTCTGACCTGCCTGGGCCCTAGGGTGGTGCTATTAGTCCAAGGAACTCAGCGTGGTCCCATGAGGACTCCACAGCATGGGTGTGTGGATACATTGGAAGCAAGTCTGCAGTGGAGACAGGGTAGGAGGGCCTGATTGAAGGCTTGAGGATGCAGAAGAGGCTGCATGGTTGGGAAGGGCAGGTGATTGGGGGCAGCTTGGCGCTTTCCCCTCCTATTCCTCTTAGCAGGGGGAGAACCCTCTAGACAAAGGTCTAAACTCTGCCACACCATAAAATCCAGCAGAAATGTGAGAGGGGGCTGAAGGGCTTTCACTTCCTTCCTCTTCCACTTGAGTGGCATAAAGAAGCAACCTTGGATTTCTAAGTTGGAATACATTGCCAGTGGATGAGAAAAAAAGCATAAATGATCTATATTTGCCATTAGTTGCCACGATAGATTATTATAGCAGGAAGAAGAGAATGAGGGTGGTGTGGAGATGAGAATATGGTAAAGGAGTGGGCAATGGAGGAATAAAATAAAAGAATCCCTAAGATTGTACTGCCTTATGATTTTCAAATATCTTCAGGCTTACTTTCAGCAGCTTAATTGCCATGTGGATTCCAAATGATTAAAAACTTGCCAAGGTATGATCTGTCTCTGCAAAGCAAGAAAACTATGAGGTGTTTCTTTTGTTGAAAAAGAATGACTTTAGTTTGTAATTGAAGTGCAAAGAATTTGATGCAAACAAGTAGTCCCCCTACTCCCCAGCCCCCATTCAAGCCAAAATCAGCTTTCTACCTCATGCAACAAATAAATGTTATCTCTGAGAGTGTGATCTGTGATTTAGAATTTCGACCTCACTATGCCTTCTTCTGCAGTGCTGGGAAGGTACGGAAGGATGTGGCCTTGCTGCTTGGAGCAGGCAGTTCTTCCTAGTGATAAATGGGATTCCTCCCAAAGCTCTCTGAGCCACACGCATTGTCACCCAGTCACTTAGTGAATTAATTAAGCTGAGGCATTTTACTTAATATAATTGAAGCTTCTTGTATTTGTTTTCAATAGTGTTTTTCACCACAGGTTTGCAAATTTAAACAGAAAAAAATACTTGAAGGGCACTTTCTTTTCTTTTTTCTTTTCTTTTTTTGCCAAATTATCTGGACTTGCAGAGAACCTTAGAAAATTCATGGTAAGCTCTGTTGTTCATTCTTGACCCTGTCATATCCAAAGAGTCACCTCATAAAGGAGAGATCAGACTGACATTTGGCGGTATCCTTCTGGGACAAAGATAGCAGGAGAAGAAACTGGTAGCAACCCTTACTGTTCTGCAGCTGCTGCAGGTGATCCCCAGGCAAACAGGGCCTGGAGTGGACCTCAGCAGTCCTACAGCAGAGGTACCAGACTGTTACAACGAAAACTAAGAAACAGAAATAATTTTATCATCAACAAACAGAACGTCCACTCAGACACCCAACCTTAATGTCAGCAACTACAAAGACGACAGGTGGATAAATCCACAAAGATGGGAAGAAGCCAGTGCAAAAAGGATCAAAACAACCAAAACCGGAACACCTTTCCTCCTACAAGGGATCACAACTGCTCACCAACAAGGGAACAAGGCTGGAAGGAGAATGAATGAGATGAAATTTCCAAATCAGGCTTCAGAAGGTGGGTAATAAGAAACTTCTGTGAGCTAAAAAACATATTCTAACCCAATGCAAAGAAACTAAGAACCTTGAAAAAAGATTTGATGAAATGCTAATGAGAATGGACAACTTAGAAATGAATATAAGTGAATTGATGGAGCTGAAAAACATAACACGAGAACTTAAGCATGCACAAATTTCCACAGCTGAATTTGCCAAGCAGAACAAACAATATCAGAGGTCGAAGATCAACTCAATAAAATACTACTAGAAGGCAAGATTAGAGAAAAAATGGTAAAAAGGAATGAACAAAGTCTGAAAGAAATGTGGGGCTATGTGAAAAGATCTAATCTACATTTGATAGGTGTACCTGAATGTGATGAAGAGAATGAATCCAAGCTGGAAAATACTCTTCAGGATATTATCCAGGAAAACTTCCCCAATCTAGCAAGGCAGGCCAATATTCAAGTCCAGGAAATACAGAGAACACCACAAAGACATTCCTCAAGAAGAGCAACCCCAAGGCACATAATCGTCAGATTCACCAGGGTTGAAATGAAGGAGAAAATACTAAGGACAGCCAGAGAGAAAGATCAGGTTACTCACAAAGGGAAGCCCATCAGACTCACAGTAGATCTCTCAGCAGAAACCCTACAAGCCAGAAGAGAGTGGGGGCCAATATTCAACATTCTTAAAGAAAGGAACTTTCAACCCAGAATTTCATATCCAGCCAATAAGCTTCATAAGTGAAGGAAAAATAAAATCCTTTGTGAACAAACAAGTACTCAGAGATTTCATCACCACCAGGCCTACTTTATAAGAGCTCCTGAAAGAGGCTCTACACATAGAAAGAAACAACCAGTACCAGCCACTACAAAAAGATACCAAACAGTAAAGAGCATCAACACAATGAAGAATCTGCATCAACTAATGGGCAAAACAGCCAACTAGCATCAAAATGGCAGTATCAAATTCACACATAACAATATTAACC